GGGCTCAGAGCGTGACGGGCTTTTTTGAACGTACCCTAAAATACTCTTGTCTTAAAGGAATTGAATGACGTGTCAAAACAACTTCCTGCATCATCCAGGGTCCTTTAGAAAAACTTAAGAACTGTTCTTAAATGGGCTGTAAACGGTCCCAAATCGATTCACTCTGGTGCCACATTATCCAGGGCGCCGGGGTCCCTGAGGGGGTCCAGCTGTCAGTTATGTCTGCCTCGAAGACTTGGGGGCACGGGCACCACCAGAGCGACGCCGTCTTCCTGGCACTGCGAAGCGCGGCTGTAGACCTGCCCCAGCCACGCCCTGCGGAGGCCTGCGTCCCCGCGGGCTCCGCTCAGCCGCCCCCAGACGCCGCAACGCCAGCTGGGAATTCGCGGTAAAGGGGAGCCGTCAGGAGGCCACTTCCACGGCACCTCCGCGCCGAACACCGCCCTCCGCAGGAAATCAACCTCAGTCTTCAAACAAAGAGCTTCTCCCCTGCAGTTCGTTCTCGGAGCTACACGGTCAGCCCCGCCCGGGCTTTCCTCCCTGAGGACGGGAGCTCCTGCCTCGCCGGCCGGAGTGAAAGCTCGTTCCCGGGGAAAGCCCCGTGGGCCCTGCCGACAAGCTGGCGGCCGCTCTTCACCCTCCCGGGCAGCCCGGGCTCTGCCCACTGCAGGGAAGGCCGAAGGAAGGAGCAGGTGCCGCCCGCATCCACGATCCCCCAGAGGCTTCCAGCGCATCCCGCGGCCGCCGCGGCCTTGCTTTGCTGAAGAGCGCCGCCCCGCGACCCTACAGAGAAGCGCAACACCGTGAGGCACGGGCCCAGCCCGCGCGACGGCGCTAACAGAGCTCCGGAGCGGCCCGCGCCTGAGGAACCCAAAGTTTACTCGCAAGAGCAGCTTCGCGACCAAAGCCCTGATGCACAGCGAGGCAGGAGGCGCCGAGGGACGCGACCCAGCGACCCTCCTCCAGGTGTGCGCGCGTCTGGGCACACCCGACACCCACCTTGAGGGGCGCCCCCCATGGCTCCAGTGCAGCCCTGCGGCGCCGCTCGGGCTGAGGCCGAGCTGTCCTTAGCTCCGACGGGCACACGGGGGGCGGCGGCCGGCTCCCCGCCGCCTCCTTCACCGAAAACCCCGCAGAGATCCGGAGACTGCGGTGGGGGGAAGGGACCACGGGCTCAGGCCGGGACGTTCTCCGCCCGCACGCAGCGCGGCTGCCACACGGAGGCACCCAAGTCCCTCCTCCTGGCAGGGCCACCGACGCCCGGGTCAGGAAGGGGCTGGGGGCTGCCCGCACACGGTCGTCACACCGACCTAATCGGGGCGGGACGGTACCCTCCACACGTCACCCACGAGAAAACGGTGTGGGGGGCTGAGCCCCTGAATAAACGTGACGGAGCCGGGGTCTAGCCCGTATCCAGCGTCCGAGCCTGTGGCCTCTGCCCTCTGCAGCCGCGCTCCTGAGGCCAGCACGAGCTGGCTCCCTCCCGGGCTCGCTCTCGAATGGCTTGGAGAGCTTTTGATGGAGAACAAATTTAGCTAATCTTTACTTCTTCTTTCCTTTTCGCCAGCAATTTCCATCTGCTGAAGATGTTCGGCCAGTAGAGAAAATAAGCGTCCGGGGGCAGCTTGAGAGAGACTCGCTAACTTCAGGCACCTCTGGCCGCTTCTCAGTTGCTTGGCCTCCTCAGCCGTGACGGACGGTGCCCGTCGTCGGGTCGTGGACCCTCAGACGCCGGCGCCTGTTACCCTGGCGACTCCCGCTGGCTAGACAGCCGGTGCGGCACAGCCCTCAGGACGCCTGACCCTCGGAGTGAAGTTCTACGTCAGCTCAACGGTGAGGAGCGGCAGACATGTGACAGTTTGAGGAAAACAATGAGCTTCAGCCCCCTCTGCTGTGGCTGCCACCCGCGTGGACGCAGGGAGGTATCCGATCAAGGCAGGGGTTCTGCAGTAGCAGGGCGGACAGAGAAAACAGACCAGGCGGAGAGGAGGAAGCCCGTGGGCAGTGCCCAGCCCAGCACCGGCCAGGAGCGGCGTGGCCTCCCCGAGGGCAGGCAGGCACCAGCCACACCGCCCTAGCGCCCGGCACCCCAGCAAGTGCAGCGCTTGTCACGGGTGCCACGTTGCTGCCGTTTGCCCACAGGGAGCCGCGGGAAGGGCCTGCAAACGCAGCGCAACACCAAAAGAATGCACGCCGCTCCCTGTGGGAGCACACGCTGGGGTCCTGGGACCACGGGGGCAGCACCCACACAGGCCTGCGCCCGGTGTCACAAGAAGACAGCTCCCCCACCTCGAAGACCAGACCAAGACCGGCGGAGTCCTGGGCAGGATAGGAGACCGTCTTGGGGCAGAATGGATGGAAAGCTGACTGCAAAGTGACGGCTGAATGTGACTCTGAAGTTGCCAGCACCGGCACCTGGGGTGTGGGTGTCGAGCCTTCGCAGAGGATCTTGGTGTGTGGGCGCGGCCTGTGCGGTGCTGGGGCTGAGCCACAAACAGGCCCACAGCACAGACCCAAGGGTTCTGGGACACAACTGTGACAGTAACTCTCCTAGCTGCCCTCCGAACCCGTGTACCGTCTAGAACCCCGACTCCACCGAAGCTCCTAGTGTCCTCGTGACCGAGATGGTGGGAGGTGTCATCCGAGCCGTTGCAGCATCGGGCTGGCGCCTGCTGGAGCATCTCCTTCTGAAACCGCAGACGCCCACGCAGGACCAGGCTGCGCACGTTCCAAGGCCCAGGTCAGAGACAAAAGGCTCACATGCCCACACCTCCTCGACATGTGCCCACAGGCTTAAGGAGAGCTTCCTACGGCCGGCTGCCCCAAGTACGAGTTGTCTGATTTCTGCAAAATCCACTGACACCACCTAAAGGAGAAAGTTGTACTGTTATAGCCTCAAGGGCAGCCCCTCACTGCCTCGGGGGGCAGGTCAAGCGCCAGGAAGGACCCATGGCCGTGAGGGTGGGTCTACACAGAGGATGCAACTGGTAAGTGTGGCCAGGTGGTCAGGGGCCTGGAAGCAATGAGACCGGAAGTAGAGGGCCAGAGGTATCAGAGTGGTTTGTGGGCGTGAGAAGGAGGTGAGTGCACAGCATGCTGACGTCTGTCCCACGAGAGCACCCACCGCTGGCGTCAGGTGACACGGTGACCTGACTGTAGACATCAGTGACCCCCACCCCCCATCACCACGGCACAGAAGCCTTATCCGCTGGGTGGCTCTCCCGGCACCACTTCCAAGACCTCAGCACACGATGCAGCCCCGCGAGCAGTCCCTGGAGGACGTGGCGGAGACGGGGACGCCTGGGGCTGCTGTCCACCCGACAGGCACCCTCTTCTCTGAGCCACCAGGACACATGGCAGATCGAGGAACCAGGTGAGGGAGGGAGCAGCCCTGTGACCCCCTCGGAGCCATGGCTTGTGGGGAGGCTAGGCCTCCAAGGCAGCCCTTACACAGGACTGAGGGCCCGCCCGCAGTGCTGGCCTTGTGCCAGGGAACCAAAGGACCGAGAGGGGCCAACTGTAATGGGCGTGACTGCCCCCCACGCCCCTGGGGACAGGGCTGTGGCCACAGGCGGGGACTTGGGGGCCCATGGGAAAGGATGCCCATTTCTAGGGATAAAAGTCAACAGAAAACTAGTTACCAAAACTAGGAAGATTTCTAGCGGGAAAGCCCCTTCACGAATGAGGTTTGGGTCAACCTACCAGGTGAAGACCCACAACCAACAGAGGTGAGCAGCTGAGGGCAAAGCAACGTGATGAGCTGTAGAGCAGCAGCATTTAACGCGAGCTGCCGCCAGCCTAGTGGCCGCTGGGCTCTGCAGACCCTGCACTGGCTTGGTGATAGTACAGATCAGTCCATTTTCCCCCTTGCCTGTTCCAGCGCCAACACCAGGAGAGTTAGGAGTGGTTAAGCCTTCGAGCCCACACCCAGGAGGCTGTGACCGACCATAGGAGCACCTCCTCCAGAGGTGGACACTCAACATGGGCATCTGGCATCACATCAGGCAGAAGCAGGGTTCACTGTCTTTACCCACAAGTTCACTTTACAAGGGAGTTGCAGGTACTGGGCTGGTGAAGCGACAGATGGAACGCGGATGGCTGTTGTCACACGGCCCCACCTCCCGCACGGCGGCCTCCACGCTCGTCTCTGACAGCTGAGAAGCCAGAACAGGCTGTTGGGAAGTCCTTCCTGGGAGGGCCAGACCTGCCAGCAAGGCTGGAGGAGGCTGTGCATCACGGCAGGTGGGTGCAGCCAAGCACACACAGACTGGGGTTGGGGGCAGCCCTGCAGGGGTTCCTGGAGAAACACAGCCTTGCTGCTGCCACCGAAGCAGACAAGGAGCTTCCTGCAGTGGCCACCCAGGGCCTCCTGCGAGGGCTGACCCGGCTCTTCTGGCTGCAGCCCTGGCCCTCACTCCTCCGCCCTCCTGGTTCCTGCACTACACCCGCCAGACCTGGAAACCTGGGGACGTGCTGACCGTTAGGCTTGCTGCCCAGCGCCTTCCAGGAGCTGTTCCTCCCCAACCCTCTCCCTCGAGATGTGAATCATATCAACCTTACTCTCAGCTCCAGGGACAAGGGTGACCAGCCCAAGCTCTCCCTCTACGCCCCAGTGGCCGGTCCAGGAGTAGACGTCCACCCAGCCTGACTGGTGAGTGCAGGTCAGGGTCTTGGCCACAGCCATCGTTTCAAGATTAGGCCTGTGGCCAGTAAGATGAAGCCACCCATTCCTGGGTGACGGGTGAGAAAAATCTCTCCTCTGGACAGTATGCATTGGGAGATGAGGCCCAAAACGGCTACGGCCATTTGGTTCCCAGGGATTCAGCCTGAGGTTCACGCCAACAACTTGGGAAAAGCAAGTCAGGAAAGTGCAGAGCAACGGACCTTGTGCCCTGATCAAGCAGTACCTGGAATCCACCCTGCCTTTAGATTTTCAACTCACGTGCTGTAAAGTCTACTCAGGTTGGGTTTTCTGATAGATCCCAAAGCATCCTGACTTATTAGACTACTTTACTCGTGGATTTCTTGGCTAAATGTATTAACATTTGTTTCTTCTCACTAAAAGTCCAAATTTTCAACAAGGCCACCTGTGTGAGATTGACAGCTTCGTCCCACTTGTTCTTGTCTTGGCTGGTGTAAGCCGCCAGGTTCTCTGTGTATTGCAAGACGGACTTTAAGAACCTGTTTAAAAGAAAGAAATTAATTTATCTATGCCCTTGTAAAATGCAATAATGATTTAAATGTATCCCCTTCATTTTGAAATTACAACTAAAGTTCTGTAGTTAATTTTTGTCTGAGGATTCAAGAAAAAAAAATACATTCAAAACAGAAACGAGAGAATACAAATTGGATAGAGAAGAACGCCGAACTGGAGTGTCACTGGAGGGGATGGCGCCTAGGCTCCACACAGCTCACACACCCTCCATCTTCCGCTCCCAAACCCACATATGACGGATGCTCTTAGCTGATGGGGCTCGGTTCCAGAAAGGACCTTAGAGGCCGTCTGGACCACACTCACACGTAATAAACTCACAGGACACAGGACCTCGGGGGCTGTGCCTCCTGTTCCCACCCTGATGACCAGCCTCACCCGACGGAGAGAGGGGCCACCCCTTCAAAGGAGATGCGTCCCACCTGGAGCAGCTACTGCTGTTGAAAGGCTTTTCCTGAAAGATAATTCGTCAGAAAGTTCACAGGGGAATTACCTCTGATGGGAAGAAGCGCCGTTTTCACATTTTCCAAGTTCTGCTCAAGGTCTCCCAAGTAGCCTAAAATTTTCTCCAAATATGAATTTTTGAAATTTTCACACTTAGGGAGAAGTTAAAAGAATAATACGATGAAAATCCACAGACCCTTTGTCTAGAGGCGTAGCTTTCACTTAGGGTGATTTTGCCCCCAGAGGCCTGTGGCAACATCTGAGCCGTTTTTAGTCGTCACAACTGGGGGCTGCTGGCGTCTGGTGGGTGGAGGGCACCACCCGACAGTACCCGGGGCAGCCCCGCGGCAGAGACAGTCCACGGTTTTGAGCCGCGACCTGGCCCCAAGGCATCCGCACAGCTGCCTGAGGCGGTGGCAGCCTCTCCAGCTTCCTCCCAATAACACTGTCTGGACATTATTCTTACACCAGAGGGAGAAATTCTGAAATCATTCACATGTAAATCACATTAAATTTTCTGAAACGTGTGTTTTAAAGGCTCACAAATTTGCACTGAAGTCCACAGAGAAGAACAGTTCAGGACCAGACTGTGGGGTTGAAAAAAAATCACCAAGAAAATAACCAACAGAAGTGAACATGATTCAGAATTAGCAAAACACAGCTGCGTCTCCTGTACGTGAGGGCACTGACCTTAGATACTGCTGATATTCCGAAGTATTTTTCCCAAGAACCACATGAATGTTGACCAATTCCAGTGCAATCAGCAGTAAAATCAGATAAAGCATAGGAGACAGAAGCTTAATACTAAAAATAAAGTAAAAGTTAATAAACATAAGTATTTATCACCTTTATAAGGAGAAAAATGTTTCATCTAACCAATCCTTCTTTCAAAAGTCCTTAAATCCAAACTTCTCATAAGAACACTCTTGTGTGGACAGCCGTTTTCCCAGTGGCCGTGAGCCCCAGCCCCTGCAGGCTGTGCGGGATGCCCCCCAACCTTGGGCCTGAGCTCCTCGCCCAGTTCTGAGCCCGCAGGCGCCCTGCCTGCTCTGAGGACCAGGCTCCACCGGATCGGCACCCGGTCCCTTTGCCCAGTGGCAGCTCCTTCCTTACAAGTCAGCGTTCAGCAAAGGACTCTCCCAAGAGGAGAAACACAAATGGCTTAAACATGAGAATGGGTTAAACGTCTCTGGGACCAAATTCCAGTTAAAGTCAGAATCCAGTCTTCCCAGGAGGAATTTTAAAATATATCCTGTTTTGGGGAAGGATGTGTGATGTAACACCATCATCTCATAAACTGCCGGTAAGGGTGTAAACTGGATGTAACCTTCCGAAAGCAAAGGAATACTTACTAAAAGCTTTATAAACACAGATACCATTCAACCCAAAAATTCTAGGAATTTGTCCAAAATGGTAATTTCGTGAGGATGTAGCACATTCTAAAATACACAGTGCTGGCATCCCCAGGTAAATCTGCTGTCACATTTTAAATCCAAATATTCATTCGGGTCCGTAGAACCCATATCCCAAAATTATAAATGGTATTTTTAAGTGACACATATGTAACTTCTCCTGAAAATAAGTATTTCTCTGAAGTCAGGGGTAGAAGTGTACCCAGAGGTAAGAGCTGCCCAGCAGAGCTCCTCTAAACAAGACCCGCGAACCACGCACCTGTGAACCAGGCGCAGGTAGTTCCGCCGCTGCCGGGAGCGCAGGCTCCTGTCCTCCCACTGCCGGCGCCTCAGCTCCGCGCAGGCGGCCACCTGGCCACACACGCAGTGGCAGTGGGCGCCGATCTTCCGGAGCACGGCCAGCACCTCCAGGACGGCTCTGGGGCAGAACAGGGTCCGGACAGGGATGCTGCAGAGCTCATGGAGCAGCTGGGGCCACCTGCAGGGGCAGAGCGAGAGTCCCAAGGGCCTATGGTCACCAGTCCTCCGCGGCCTGCACACCTGCCGCGGCCTCCAACACGGTCTCGGTTTCCTGCTGCAATCGTTATACTGGGTGGGTGTCGATGGTGAGAACAGATCGTGTGTTGTAACGTCCATCAGACAGACCAACGCACACACCATCAGGGCTTATCTAATAATTCCTCCTGGGACACAGTGGGATTCTAACACTACCTTCAACGTGTAAGACTTCAAACACAGGAAGCTGTGAAGTCGGCAACCCCAATATACTTGCCCCAGGATACCCTGAACTTACTTCTCAGGAGGAAGGTACTCCGAGTCGTGAGGAACGCGGTGGGTCTCGGGCACATGGTGACACAGCTCAGCCACGATTTCTGTGATTAAAGAGTGGCAGGCATTTATTTCAGAATTACCTTCTGATCTGAAAAACAGAAAACATTTAAAGATACATGACAATGAGCAAGATGCCTAATTAGTGCCAGTGCAGAATAATATTTATTTCAGTGGTTCACTGAGCAAAGCACTCAATCTGCAACTCGCTTTCCCCAAAAATAAAATGAAAAAGCCACCATCAGAGGGAGAGGTAAAACACAACACACTGTGGGCGATGCACCTGCGGTCAGAAGATGCCCTGTGACCCTCGAGAGTCCTCCCTCGAGCTGACTGCAGTGTGTCCACGCCCAGTCCTCTCCTGAGCTTCAGACCCGCTGTCACACCATCCACTAGCCATTTCTGCCAGATGCCACCCTCCTCCCCACAAGGCCTGCCTCTCGTCCCTGTGCCCTTGGTCTCTGCAAACGGTTCCCCCATGACTGGGCCCTGAACCCCCAGTCTTGGCCCTCCAGTCACCAAGACCTAGCAACCCCTCCTTGGGATCTGTCTCCCAACAGGCTTGCCAGAGAAAAAAAATCGTTCAGAGGCTGACATTCTCGGACCCCTGCAAGGCCTGTGTGACTTGGGGGGCACTCACCGCTGAGCCTCCCTTTCGGATCCTTCAGGCAAAGGCAGCAGAGGCCAAACTCCAATGCTCCTCTCACAGCTCAGAACCTGACAGGACAATGTACAACTGCTTTTCAAGATTTTAAAATAATGTTCTAGAAAATATGTTTTTAAGTAGTTACATCCAAGAAAAGACATATCTGTAAAATTGTTACAGATGCCATACTTTAAAACTAGGTGACGGGTCTGTTACTCGATCAAATCAGGTAAAGGAAGGCAGGTGAAATATGGGATTCCAAGGAAGTGTCCAAAATTCTTCTGACGCCTCCTGATGAGAGTTGGTCCGTGTCCCCGCCCCTGGTCGGGGCCAGCCATGGCAAACGGCCGTGGCCTTGAGAACACAGGGAGACGCAGGTTGGAGATGGGCCCCTCCCCTCGTCCCCACCTCTGCCTGGGTGCAGCTGGCCGAGCACCCAGCACAGACTTCCACTCCTCAGATGGGTTCCTGTCTGGCAGAGCCCATCCCAAATTTATGACCCACAAAAGCACAAGCAAATTAAGTGGTTGTTGTTCATGTCACCAAACGAGGTACTTTGTTATGCAGCTGATATCCCGAGCAGCGGACTTAGAAAGAACAGGATGCAAGATTGGCTGCAGAATAGAAGGTGACTAAATCACATGTAGCAGGAGTAAGAGGCCACGGAAAAGGTGAAGGTGCAGAACGCCCACTGTGGGGAAAGGAAGGGGCGTTGACCAGGGACTTGGAAGCAGCAGCCAAGGGGCAGGAAGGCTGGCTCCCCGAAGCTTCTCTTCCTTCCAGAACCTTCCCGCCTTTGCTGAAGCCTCCCTCCCTGAACGCTTCTAGGTCCTCCTAACGGCTTTTGTTCTGGAAGCTCGGAATCACGATGGGCAGACAGTGCAATGCAAGTAGATAAAGGTACAGAGCAGCCCGACGCGCCATCGCAAACAGGACCCGCTGACACAGGAACTCAGGCTGATTCCTTCCCGCAAACAGCAAGGACAGAGCGCCGCTGGGTTCTGCTCCTGCACAGCTGCTGCTAACCCCCTCCTACCTGAGGCTACTCAGGACCTGTCTTCTCCAGGCTCGGCTTCTGCCCGGCGCCATTGCAAATCTCCCCAATCCATTCTGTGCTGATTTTACAGCTTCCTTTTAGAATTTCTCAGTTAGCAACTATCATGATTATTCTATTCATGGAGACAACCCCATTTTTGCCCCCTTGTACCGCCTACCATACAGAAAATAAAGTCTCTAAGCTACTCGCCAAATTGTTAACGTCCTGGTAGAAATGCTTAAGAAAGTTTGTTGCCTGCTTGTTTACTTTACAGGTTAACAAAGGCTGGCCTCATAAAGCTGGCGTCCCTCACCACCGAAAAGCAACACCTATGACTGGTCCCGGGTTAACAGCACTCAGCCACCCATCAAGTACCAAAAACGCCGAGGACACAAACCCCACCACAACCCTAACTACTGGACCTTAGAAAGACATAGTGGCTTGGCCAAGGCCATGCGTCCAAGAGGAAAGCAGGCTACAAAGCCAGGTCTGCGGACTTCCAGCCCGGCTGGACAAGGCCGGCCTGTACCTCTCAAATCTCTGCAACAACTGACCTGCACACGCCCCTCACCACACACCTGCTTTTTAAGCTGAGAAACTGGATGGCAGCGAGCGCCGTAGGCTTCTGCAACGTTCACCAATGCTCTCACTGCTGCTTTTTCCTGCTTTAGAGAAAACAGACAATTGTTACTACAACTTCTGGTCAGGCTCCTACGTTTCTTCTATTGCATCTTAGGTCATTTAAGAGTCCCAATTTCCAATTAGCTTCCTTCACATAATTCTCTCAGCTAAAAGAAAGCAAAACTCTTCATTAAAATAGGTCTAACAAGGCTTTCCTGGTGGCGCAGTGGTTGAGAGTCCGCCTGCTGATGCAGGGGACACGGGTTTGTGCCCCAGTCCGGGAAGATCCCACATGCCGCGGAGCGGCTAGGCCCGCGAGCCATGGCCGCTGAGCCTGCGCGTCCGGAGCCTGTGCTCCGCAACGGGAGAGGCCACAGCAGTGAGAGGTCCGTGTACCGCAAAAAAAATAAAATAGGTCTAACACAGTAGTCAAACTATAACCAACAAAATGTTTAAATGAGGCTGATTAACAATGATAAATTACAAAGGCCACTCTGTCCACAATGCAGCAAAACAAGAAATAAATGGGGGAAAAAAGATGCCAAACAATTGGAAAATGTAAGAGATTCTCCTAAAAAACTAGGACATAAGAATTTAAACATTAAAAATCAATATAACTAAAAGAGGATTACATACTATAAATACTCAACTGCCAAACATACATTTTTAAAAGAGTAAAAATAACATTATTTACAGCTGACACGTCTGTATAACTGGAAAACCCAAGGTGCGGACTATTACCAAGTCAGTGAGTTGAGAGTGGACAAATTTAATACACAAAAGTCAAGAGCTTTCCTACGTATAAGCAGTAACTACCCAGAACTCTCAGTAGCACAAAACAACTCACATAGTTAGTCGTTACTTGGAGAAGAGATGCACTCAACTTTCAGTCACGCAGATACCTACACGGGTGCTACACGGAGCAGAGAGAAACCAGCCCTCACTATGTGGTGAACGTCCAGCGGGGTCGCCAGGACTCACACCTGAAGTCAGTGACGAGCCGGCAGCCACCACAGCACACATGAACTCTGCCCTGAGACAGGAACCTCAGGAGGGCCTCAGAGCACAGTGGGGACACATGGGGGCCACACCCCTCCTAGGGGCTCAGGGGAGCAGTGGGGGTGGCAGAGGAGGGGGGATGCAGATCTGGGGCACCAGCTTGAGGCAGAGGATGGAACGTGGAGGGTGAAGAGTGGGGACTGGCCTGTGTCAGGGAACAATGTTCAATCTTGCAAAAATGTCAATTATCCCCACATTAATCCGTCAGGAGCCCATTCCTGTGGGCGGGCTGGCTGGGCTTGGGCTTTGTGTTTAGCTGCACAGGTTCCCCGGATTGATGACATTAGAGAAGAGGCAGGACAGTGCTGAAGAAGAAGAGGGGCGGCAAAGCCATCGCTCCGATGCCAGACCTGCACCATGACGCTGAGCAAAGGCAGGCAGAGAGTCCAGGTCTGGAGTCCCGTGCACACAGTGTAGAGATATGTATTCTCTAAATGGTGTTTGGCCAGCTTGCAAAAGCAATTTGTTAAAAAAAGAAAAAAAGTACAGCTAGAGTCTCTAACTCACTCCCAGGTGAAATAAATTGCAGCTGGATCAATAGATGTAAATGAGGAAAAAAGCTATAATACTATACAGGAAAACATATGAATACATTTATAATTTTGGAAAGCAAAGGGTCTTTTAAGAACGACTTCAAATGCATAAGTCAGAGAGAAAAAACATCAAAACCTAAAGACCGGTAACAAGCAACACATACTCTGAAAATGGCAAATAAGGCTAATAAACCAGTGAGGAAAATGAAACTGAATAAAACAGAATAAAGATGTTAACAGGAAAAAAAAAAAAGATATTAACAGGAAGTTCACAAAAGAATTTCAGCATCATAGTTAGACATTTTCCACAGCAGAGAAAATTCTATATCACCCATCAGTGAAGGACAGCTTAGACAAATAATGACACATTGATAAGATGGGATATCAAGCAGCTGAGACAGAGTAAGGTAGAACAAAATTGCCAAAAATAAACTGTTAATGAAATGCTAGTTAGAAAACAGAGTTATGTCCTGCTTTGGAACCCGCACTGCAGGCTCATGGAAAGATGTGGAAGCAGACACTCAGCTACTGACAACAGTCACCTCTGGGAGAAGGGATTCCTGAGAACTTCCACTTTTTGTATTAATTTTTCTATCCTGTTGGAATTTTGAAACAAATTTTACCATAATTGTTACATGTACAGTCTGAAAAAAAGATTAAAATATAACTAACAGGGCTTCCCTGGTGGTGCAGTGGTTGAGAGCCCGCCTGCCGATGCAGGGGACGCGGGTTCGTGCCCCAGTCCAGGAAGATCTCACATGCCGCGGAGTGGCTGGGCCCGTGAACCATGGCCGCTGAGCCTGCGTGTCCGGAGCCTGTGCTCCGCAACGGGAGAGGCCACAGCAGTGAGAGGCC